ATATATATTGATCGGTATTTTCTACATCTACTTTCATATTTCTATATCAATTTCTCTTAAAGAACCGATATAGAATTTTTTTGGAGATTTATGTTCTTTCATATTTCTATATCAATTTCTCTTAAAGTACTGATATAGAATCTTTTTTTTGAGCCTTATAATCTTTATATCTTTTTTCTACATCCACTTTTATATTTCTATATCAATTTCTCTTAAAGAACCGATATAGAATCTTTTTTTGGAGGCTTCTTCTCTACATTTTTATTCTTTTCTATTTTATCTTCGCAAAAATATATATTGAAATATATATATTGAAATATATATTTTTTCTATCTATTATAAAATATTAATATTTCTATCTCTTCTAAGTATACATGATGGGTTTTATCGGGTGGATATAATTCTTCTTTCAATCATAAAATCTAAAACAAAACTCGAACGTGAAACTAAAATATATCTAAAATAATACTTTTTAATTTTAAAACAATTGCCCCTCGCGTAAAATATATTTGATAGGTTTTATAACTTTTCAAATTAAATAGGTAGGTAGGTAGTTATCTGTGTAGATAGGGATTTATTATCTACAAGCGCTTGTAGAAAATAAATTAGGCCGGATAGATAAGAAATATGTTAGATCGGAGGTAGGTAGGTAGGANAAATAAAAATGTACAATTAGGATCAAGGTTGTTACGCAGCCNTAATCTTAATTAATGAGGCTAATAACGTTTAAGATATGTCAAATGTTTAAGATAGGTAGGTAGGATTATATGTACTATGTATATTGTATAATATTGTGTTATATTGTTATATGTAATACATGCAAACTTTTGTATTCTATTATGATGTATAAAAAATTGTAAAATGAAACTTGAAAATTGAAAACACATTGTTAAAGAATTGTAATAAAACAGAGTAACAGATATCCTTTTTGGAATTGCAACTTTTCAGACGTATATATTTGTGTACCGGCGAAACACCTTTGTGTAATATACATGTTTTTTTGTGTAATTTGCATTTATACGTATATATGTAGTTTTTGATAAAATAAAATAAAATTTATAAAGCAAAAAGCAGCAAATGATGATGTAAAAGGAAATGATACATTCCACGAATTCTGATGCTGCTCGCTAAAATAATATTATTTTTTTCACTATCACATTTTTTCGTGTATATCACATTTATGTTGTGTGGGAAGTTGCAATGTGGTTTTTTATCTTTTTCTGTTCTCCTTTCGTATCTTCTCATCACGAGACCGATTATTTCAAATTTCAAAAGAAATCAAATCCACGCTCGCGAATATACTCACACGCCTGAAGAAGGTGACCATTATTCATTTTTTAATGTTTCGATTTTTACATATATTTAATTGTATACACAATAATATATAGATATAATAGAATAAAATAATAATATAATATAATTATATTTATTTAGTGGCTACATATGAATATTAATATTAAATATATATTTTTTTAAACGACACTTTTACAATATACGTTCCTTCCATATACCGGAGACATTATAGATTCATCTATTAAACACATATATACATATATACACATGTTATTTGTCAACGTGAAATATTAAGTAAATGGCTAATACTTTTACGTTTTGAGAAGAAAATAGGAAGAAAGAGCAGGTACATTATCGACACGACGTAGTTGTGGACAACCGATTGCTACTAGTTAGTTCGCACGGCGCTCGTTAACGCTACGAGCAACCGCCCCGCTTGCCCCCGTTCCCCGTGCCTATGCCGCGATTCATTTCATTGACGCGTTGTGTACTGCAGTGAATAATGGAACGCAGTTTTAATCTCAATCCATAGTTTTACACTTGAAGCCCGTATTAAGCCCCTTGCACAATGGACGGAATAGCGATAGCGATAGAAATAACAAAAGTTTTAAAGAGTTTATATTTATAAATAACTGTAGGAACAGCGAAATCTAACGTACAAAAATACACATGTATCCAATGCAGATCAGAAAATCAGAATAAGCAATAGCAATAAAATTTCCGACGAGTTGGAATTCTGTGTTAAAAACTGTGTTATTTCTATCGCCATCGCTATTCCGTCCATTGTGCAAGGGGCTTAAAACTGTGTTATTTCTATCGCCATCGCTATTCCTTCCATTGTGCAAGGGGCTTTATACTGTAAATTCTTGGAGTATATAGTTGCGGATTGACCAATGGTCAAGATTTAAGTAAATTGACTTGTACTTGATTGTTTTTGCATTTATTACAAAATGTTGAACACGCGTAAAAGCGCGCCTAATATTTTAATAACAGGTATATACACGTTCGTGCGATACACAGCTGTTTTATAGGACATGATATGTATCATAAATTGTAAATATTTATGTGCAATAAAATTGTCACCTCGCAGGTACTCCTGGTGTAGGCAAGAGTCTCATGTCGCGCATGTTGTCTGAAAAAACTGGTCTAGAATGGCTTGACGTTAGTAAGCTAGCTATAGAAAATAGATGTTTGGATGAATACGATGAAGTGTATCAATGTAGCGTGCTAGATGAAGACAAGGTAAGTAAGTTTTTATCATCATTGCAATTTTAATCTCTAATGCTATATCTCAGTTTTAAATAAAATATACACAAAGACTTAGTTGTTTTTTTTTTTAGAGATTATAAGTCTGTTATAGCTCTATGCAAAAAACTCAACTTTGAAAAATAAAGCACTAAGAAAAGAAAAAGACAATAGCTTGAAATATTAAAAAAATATGCACATATACTATTATACGAATCTACAGGTACATAATTGTTTTAGCTACTGGACGGAATGGAAAATATGATGAGCAAAGGAGGGAAAATAGTGGATTATCATAGCGCAGACTTCTTTCCCGAAAGATGGTTTGATATTGTATTTGTACTTAGAACAGATAATACTATTTTGTATGATCGTCTCAAGGAAAGAGGTTACTGTGGAAAGAAATTAGAGGACAATATAGATTGTGAAATTTTTCAAACTATTCTTGAGGAAGCAAGAGAATCTTACAGAAAGGAAATAGTGCACGAGCTAAAGAGCAATACTTTAGATCAGTTGTCAGATAATGTACATAAAATATGTCAGTGGCTGGAACAATGGAAGATGGATAATCAGCAAACATGAGAAAACACACATCAGCTGGCAGCTTCTTCGGGCTCTTATTCCAAAAGTGACAGTTTTATAACACGCCAAGAGATGTTTTACAATGAAATGCTCAATTTGCTACAAAAGAAGGCTCGAAATATTTCCATTTATTTAAAAAATTATCATTGCAACGATAACAGTTATGTAAACAAAAATATGTTTAAATTACAAGATTCATTGCATGAAATCTATATATATATATATATACAAACATGTAAAAACATATTTTCGATATCTTACTTAATAATGTACAGTAAAAGTAATTTCTAACAATTTTTACATTCATTCTACTATACCTAAATCATGCTTCAGTTTCTTTAGTCGAGTATCTATACTGTCATAATATTTCATTTTTATTAAGATTTTTGTTGCTGTTTCAATATCATCCTTGCCGAATGCCTCTGCCACTTGTCTAAAAAAAAACAAAAAAAAACTTCAATATTATTAGGCACTAAGAAATTTAATTAAATTAATTAAAAAATAGAAATTACTTTGATAAAGTGTCGAGAATTTCTTTGGATTCTTTGACCAGCTCCAACACTTTGTCTCTGTTTTTAATTGCATTTTCTATCTCTTCGTTACGTTCCATAATCTCCATGAGAAATTCTGGGTTCAAACTTGTGGTTTCTTCCGATATTGATACACCTTTTAATTTTAACATATATAATCCTCTTTTCAGTGGATGTGTCAATGTGGTATAAGCTTTATTTATCATAGATGACAAATTCTCTGAGATTTGCTTCTCTTTCTATTTGACAGTTAAGATCAATCCTTCATTTATGCGCGGAACAAGAAAATTTCAATGATCGTAATTTAAAGAACTCACTGTTAAATTAAAATACCTCAGATTTATTTCCAAATCTATCAGGATGCAGCATATTTTGTAAATTCCTATATTTCTCGTGAATTTCTTTATTCGTTACATTGTAATCCTTCTTGATTCCTATGATGTCGAAATAATTCAAGTTCCGTGGTAGTTCCTGTAACACTTTGCATTTCGAACAGAAAAGCTCGGACTTGTACATGTAGTCACAATTCCAACATTTTGGTGGATTGTCGCTGCAAAATCGTAAAGCTCCTAAAGAGTTTGGAGGGTGAACCGTGGATCTCGACGAAGCGTGGTGCGAATAGAATTTAAAATGCCGCTTGACCGGATTCGATGTGATTGTTTTAACGATTCTTACTAAAAACATTTTCTCACAATCCTGTTACAACCTATAAAACAAAGTTTGAATTTAATAAAGTAACAGAGGTGATCCTCAGGTTCAGTTCTATTAAAAAATTCTTGAAAGGAGGCGTTTCTGAACTAAATGCAGGAAGTTTTGCACAATGTGAATATAATCTTCTATCAAGAACAAACGTTTCAACTATTTATTTATAGTCATCCTCCAGTGTTCTACATAATTTGAACAATAACAAAACAACCCAGATAGCCAACTGAGTGCAAGTTGTTGGCAACTTGCCACAAATATTGCTCATATGTTTTCAGCAATGTAACGAAAGGGTGTATCCTCTTTTCGGTATGTTCTTGCCAGCAACAGTTTACAAGATATAATAACAGCAAGTTCCCAACAACTCATCGGCAATAAACTTCTATTATTTTTCTCAACTTATGAATAACAATTATTGCTCATATATTGCTCACATGTCATAAACATTGGCTACAACAATTGATTGATAATAAAACTCAGCACATTGATACCGAATTGACAAAAACATTTTCGTTGCGTTAAATAAAAACAACACAACAGCAATTAAGGCGAGCAACTTAATCTATACAATGATTTGCTTTATATTGAGTTTTCACATTTGGCTATCTGGGAAGCAAACTTCTTAATTTGAACATAATTTGAACAATAATAAAACGAGCAAACTTCTTAATTTGATTTGTTTTATTATTGTTCAAATTATGTAGAACACTGAGGATGACTATAAATAAATAGTTGAAACTATAAGAAAAGCAAAAACCAAAGAGCCGCAGATCCAAGGTGGAAGTGGAAATAAATTGTAACAGCAGTCAGTGTAAGTTAAGTGGACGTTTCGATCCTTTTATTGTGGATCATTCTCAACACTGTTTAAATTGAAAAAACAAATTTATCATCTAAATTGAAAAAACAAATTTATCATCTAAATTTGTTTTTTCAATTTAAACAGTGTTGAGAATGATCCACAATAAAAGGATCGAAACGTCCACTTAACTTACACTGACTGCTGTTACAATTTATTTCCACTTCCACCTTGGATCTGCAGCTCTTTGGTTTTTGCTTATAGTTTGTCTCCGTCGAGCCTTAAACTTTATTATTGAATAGTTGAAACGTTTGTTCTTAATAGAAGATTATATTCACATTGTGCAAAACTTCCTGCATTTAGTTCAGAAACGCCTCCTTTCACAATCAACAAGTTTGAATTTATACAAATGAAAATTATATTGTAAAAAGTTTTTAAGACCTCGTGAAAAGATTGATCAAAATAGAAAAGGGCCAATACGAGGCGAAACACAGGATGTTGGTGTGAATCAGCAAAATTTATTCAAGTGCCAAACGTTTCGATCACAAGTTTTGATCTTCATCAGTGGCAACAAAATGAAAATTAAAAAATTAAAAATTAGGCAGCACATCAACACATTTTGTACCGTGAGTAACGAACAAGAGTTTAATTCTGCCTAATTTTTAATTTTCATTTTGTTGCCACTGATGAAGATCAAAACTTGTGATCGAAACGTTTGGCACTTGAATAAATTTTGCTTGATTCACACCAACATCCTGTGTTTTGCCTCGTATATTGGCCCTAATCTATTTTGATCGAATTATATTGTATTGTTTATACTTGCTCGAAGAGTCAGACAAATCTTCTGTCTTTAACTCTTTCTAACTAAAAAAAAAAAAAAAAGAATAAGAGCAAAAGCGCAGAAAAGTACGGAATGACAATTACAACACGCGATTCGATCTCGTCTTTTATCTCGTGCTGTTTTTATCGAATGCGGTAGATGTAAACAGTACAGTTATTGGCCTCCCAACAGTAATTGGCCATGTAGTAAAGAAGTAATAAATATAAATAAATACTATCATTATATTCTAAATATTATAAACATTTTAATATTAATTAAGTTTTTTTGCTCCGAATAAAAGTAATATTATAGTATTTAAGAAGCTCGAAAACTTATTGTTACACGACAAACATTAACCAACTTGGCCAATCACTGTTTTTAAGGTTATGAAAACCATGTGACAGTCATTGGCCTCTTATTTTGAGTTATAGATACAAATTGTAAGTAGGTTTGTTAGTTTTTAATGTGTTATAAAGAAAATATTTATTACTATATCTTCATAAGTCAAAACAAAAAATTTATTATAATAACTGTTATGTAAACAGATACTAACAGAACTCATATGGCCAATAACTGTCTACTTTGACTGTAGGAAATATTTTATCAAATTTTGAACAATGTTTCAAATTTTCTAATAAATTTATTATTTTTATTTGCAATTGTTATAGTTTGTTCGAGCTAGTAATACCTAAGATTTACTTTAAGTTATTAAATTTAATTTTATAATTCACTCTATATAGTGCAGTTTTCCTTAAGTGGCCAATCACTGTATCTCTTACCCCTACATTTATATATTAAGTTGAAACTTGGTCCGTTCGGATTGTCAGGTAATTTCTTTATCGCTTGATTTGTGTGATAATATACCGCAATGTGATTATCGCGTGTTTACGTAGCCGTGTTGTTTCGAGTACTTGGATTTCATGACTTCCGCTTCGACAAGCGAGTTTTTAGAACTCGCGTCGACTAGCGATGACAGTAGCCGCATTTTTTTTTTAGGTTAGGTTAGATTTTCTCAAGACGAACATATGATCCGTGGCGATCCGTGACTATATTTAAACACCGCGATATTGCGTCCAAGATTCGGAGCAAAGGTACGATTGAGAGAATATGAATTCAACTAGAAGCAACGGCTACCACGAGGACAATATATTTGACGGCAGAGTGTGATAAAAAAAAAAAAAAAAAAAAAAAAAAAAACCTTACGAGTACTTTGGCTTTTTGGTCCGGAACAAAAAATGGCAAATCGTCATCAACAATTGAGCAATTTGATCAAATGGCTGGGTACTTTTGATCTTCAAGCACCGCACGGTTCCGTGGAAGACATAAGCGATGGGGTTGCCATTTCCGAGACATTGACTCAAATCGCACCTGAGTGGTTCACGGCTGCTTGGAAGGCTAAGATCAAGACCGACGTGGGCGCCAATTGGCGTCTTCGAGTGAGCAACATGAAGAAGATTGTTGAGGCTGTGATGGAGTATTACATGGAATGTTTGAACGAGCAATTGTCGGGTTACTTAAAGCCGGACGCGAGCAAGATCGGCGAGCATTGCGATCACGAAGAGGTGCGTCGCTTGTTGCAGCTGATAGTTGGCTGCGCTGTCAAATGCGATCAGAAGCAACAATATATCAACAGAATAATGTTGATGGAAGAAAGTGTGCAACAGGCGCTTAAGCAGATAATAGAGGAATTGGACGGTCCGGAGATGCAGAGCTTAAAAAACTTCACACCTGACGGTGGTCAGCAGAGACTTCACGACGAGCTTCAAAAGATAATAGAAATGAAGGACCAACTGGCCCAGAGATGTTACGAACTCGATCAACAACTTTCTTTGTTGCAGGAGGAAAAGGCTGCGCTGATTGCAGAAAACAAGAAACTGCAGGAACGACTGGATGAGTTTGAGAATCCAGAAGAATCTAGCTCTATTTTGAAATATTCCGGACTACGGAGACAGGTGGAAGCGCTCAAAGAGGAACTGTTTAAGACAGAGACATCGAGAGATGATTATAGATTGAAGGCGGAATTGTTGGAAAAGGAAATCTTGGAACTGCACTCGAGGTTGGAAGATCTACAGAAAGAGGCCGAACAGGCTAATCGTTTGAAGGACGAAGTAGACGCTTTGAAGGAAGATGCGTACAAGGTAGCGGAGTATAAGATCCAAGTGGAATCGTTAAAGAAGAAATTGGAAAACATGAGCGACCTAAAAAGACAGTTGAAAATAATGGAGGATAACAAAGTCGAGTACTTTCAATATAAAATTGATTACGAGGAGGAGGTAAAACGCACGGCTATGTTGCGGAGTCATCTGGAAGCGTGCAAACAGCAACTCACGGAAGTTCATCGAAGAAAGGAAGAGGAAAGCAACAAATGCGACCGGTTGGAGTTTGAGAACAAGAAAATGGAAGCAAAATTGAGCGCTCTGCAGAGAGAGAGAGATCGGTTGATCATTGAGAGAGATTCTCTGAAGGAAACAATTGAGGAATTGAAGTGCACGCAGGCAGCCGAGAATATGGCAAAACCCAGCAGCGGAGTAACCGGGACCGAGATAATCCCCCTCGAAATCAAGGAGAAACTTCATTGCTTGAAACTGGAGAACGAGATGCTGAAGAAGAAATTGAAAATAACGGGCAACGAGGATGTGCCGAGCGTGCAGGCGTTGCTTGAGGATTCGCAAGAACGCGTGAACACGTTGCGCGGACAAAATCGCAAGGCAAATCAGAAGATAATAGAGTTGGAAGCGCAACTTGAGGAAGTCATGGGTTCTCGATTCGGTGACGACAGCAAGAACGACAACGTGGGTTTGAATCAAAAAGTATTGCAGTTGCAGGACGAGTTGCGAAAGGCGCAGACTGAAAGAGAACGACTGACGTTGCAGCTCGAAGAACGCGAGAACGCTTTGCAGACTCAAAAACAGAAAGTATACACTCTTCAGGAGAAACTGTCGCGAAAGGAGGACGAAAACGCCGCGCTCGAAGAACGTTACAGGAAATACATCGACAAGGCTAAAAGTGTAATAAAAAGTCTGGATCCTAAACAGAACAATTCGTCACCGAGCGAGATAATCATGTTGCGCAACCAACTGCTGGAGCAACGTAAGATGATGGAGGACATGGAGCGCACCATGAAGGAAGCTAAGTTGCTGCGAGAAATGGAAGAAAAATTGATGGTAAGCGCTTTTTATAGACTAGGTCAGAATTGTCATAGAGAAGTGATGGATCAACGGCTCGCCGCGCTCAGTTCGGGACAAGGTCAATCTTTTCTCGCCAGACAGAGACAACCCTCGGCAAGGCGTCATCCACCTTACAATTCTAAATGAGGACACGCGCGAAAACAAACTCGATTCATAGTCCAAAGATTGCAGAGAAATGGTAAAATAAAAATAAAGCAAAATCGTCGTCGGTAAAAATAAATATGATGTTCTCATATTTTTTATCAATATTAAAAAAAAAAAAAAAACATCCCAAGTATTTTTTTTATTATAGTATAAATATTTCAATTCCAAACTACGCATCATGTTTATCTTTCTGTTTTATCATCATTTTGATACGTTTGCTTTATTTGTTTCATCAATTAAACTTGTTCGCTGCAAAAATGAGATATCTCTGTTTTACACTCGTAGATTTTTACGGAATCTTGTACGGATATCTTAACAAAATCTTGACATCTTTGTATAAAATTCATAAAACCAGCACAAGGCGGACTTATTCTGTACCTTTATAATACGCATTCATTATGAATCTTTGTACATAGACCAAAAAAAATTGCGTTCAGCATTGCAAATCGGAAACGACGGTGTAAAACCAATAAATAAAAAAACTTTTTATCGCGATCAATTGCATTAAGTAGATACACAAATTTACGAGATACGAGCACTCCGATTTCGATTTGCGATACAAAACACATTAAATATATATATATATATATTTATATATATATATATAAATATATAAAATATATAAATATATATATATTACAAGATAATTTCGTTAACACAATATGTTATATGAACTATATTTATTGCGACAATAAGAACGAAATTATCGATATAAGTTACAGAATAACGGGACTGGTAACACGCAAGTCCATTAATTAATTGTAATCACTTTTTATACATTAATGTGTTCGTATATCCTTTTCTCTTTTTTTTTTTTTTTTTTTTTTTTNTTTTTTTTTTTTTTTTTTTTTTTTGTACAATTGTTACGGAGATATCTAATTTTATAAATTGTCTCATACTGAGAACCGAACGTTTAAAAAAATGTTCTAGCTATTAGAGATCGGAACACATTTATAAATACGCGCGTTCCTATAAATCTTCAATAAAAATTGTATATACAAAATTACTACGCAGTAACCGCACAAACGTTTCTAATAGCTGAGAAATGAACTAAAACTTTGCGTGCATATAGATCTGTGAATTGTATCTATATCACAAAATAAACTTACTTATTTATCTTATCTCAATCGGGCTTAAAAGATAAAAAAAAAAAAAAAAGTACAATTTGTAAATATTATAAATTATAAATAATACAAATTTAATAAGTATTTGACTGTGCAATTTTGTTAGATATTAATTTTTTTTTTTTTTTTTATCGAATGTAACGCGCTCGCGGGCGTTAAATATTCCGTAATTTAGTAAATTTTATTTTAAACAAAACCACTTCACTTCACAACAAGACAATGAAAACCATTGTTTGAAATCTATTATGTATAGTTTTACAATATCGCTGCTTGTTTTAATAGAATGATTAATATTATTAGATGTATGTTGATAAACATTATTTGTCTTGTACAATAAAAAATATATATAGTGAAATAAATAAACAAATATATATATAGTGAAATAAGGTATTGTAAATAATGTACATGTAGCTATGAACATTTTTTGGATTTAGAAAGGAACTATATGTACATTATAATATAATGCAAAAAAACTCTTATATTCATGTTTATATATCTTTATATATCTTTAAAGTCGTTAATATTCCATCGAGTGACAGAAAGAGAGATTTTCCTTCAAACATGACAAATAGAACTCACAAGTGAAAAAACTATTGGAATGTACCTTACAAAAATGTGAATACACTATGACTGCGCTATGATATATACAACTTATGGAAGCAATTATTAAAATATATACAAACAAATGTTATATTTGTACGTTTCAGAAAACAAATATCCTATTGTAATAGAAAAATAATAATAATACTTATAATATTTGTTAAAAAAAAAAAAAACATGGTTAGCTCCTCTTATTTTAATTCATTGGATATTCATTAGGTACTTTTTGCGAAGATGGATCAACAATTATGATACAGTTTCCAGATATTTTAAGCTTTTTCAATTATTTAAAATTTATTTATAAGAATAGATTTGTATTTTTTTAATTTCACGTTAGCGTACGAAAAAAATTCTTCAAAGAAAAAAAAACTCTTAACAATTATTCTAGTTATTTGAATGTTTCAAGTTTGCTTTCGATTTTCACACACATTTTTATTTATTTCCGTATTATTTTTTTTTACTATATATTTGTTTTCTAAGACATAATAGTTGGAAGTAGTAGTTTCCCTGAGTTCACAATGCTATAAACAAGTTTAAATAGAACAAACATTTCGCACAAATTGCAACATTGATTTTCACAATTATTTTGTCCATTTGCCTGACTAGTTTTTTTTATATAACATACAAAAATGTTTTTCGGATTTGAACCGCGTTGGTGTCATTTTTATACCGACGTTTCGTGAACACTGATCAGGTTGCTCTTTAAACCCTGACGAAGAATGACACTAACGCGGTTCAAACCCGAAAAACATCTTTGTATGTTAATACAACACACCGCGAAAGCATCAAATATTAGTTTTTATATATATTTGTGAACTTAAAAACTGTATACAGAGTAACAGTTGTTTTGCATAACATAACTTCTAGTTGCTGCAGCTACCTTGGATTATGATGTTAGGAGCAAATATCGAAGAGCAATAGGAATTTATTATTTTCATATGAGATAGAAACTATACGTATTATCTTTTAAAAGTTGATTTAAGATAAAATACATTTTTAGGATATTTTATCAATATTTTATCATTTCATCAACCTTGCTATATAAGATATAAGCACTGAATGTAAGCTCATCAATGTTTTTTTTTCCTTTTTTTGTTTTTTTTTACGATTGCACTGCCGGTAAATACATGTTTTCAATCATAATTTCGCGTTCACGATGCAACTTATTAACATACGTAGATACTCTATTATTATGCGTGGTTGGTTTTTTTGAATTTCGCATCTTGACATCTCTCTGCAAATCAGGATAATATTTCTGATAATATAATATTGCGCTAAAAAAATGCCAAATGCTGAACTCAGGCCACAATACGTCGGTAAAGTACACACAAGTATCGGAGATCTAAAAACATATAAGATTTTGATTATACAAATACAAATCCGTTTTAAACGAGATTTAAAAAAAAAAACAAACATGCAGAACATAAAAACTAATTTTTCGTACTTGCCACATGAGGAAGTCACTAAGTCGCACTTCTCCCGAAGTACGGATTAATAAATCTGGATTTGGAGAATTGTAAGTATATAAACAATCGGAAATCAAATTTTCGCTAATGTCTTCTGGCAAGATATCAGCATGTTTTACTCCTTTTGTTATATCCTTAATAGCATGAGTTATTTCATCTCTTGCTACAGATATATCACAACAATTAGTATTTAAAAAAAAATGTTCACATCATTTGAATAAAAAAATAGTTTCTATTAATATTTAAAACAAAATATATCAGTAAAACACAAAGCGTTATAAACTTATTATTTGTGATCATACTTACATGTATAAGCAAAAGCAACATTTAAAAATGATTTGTTATTATTTTTAGTAACAATCATAGCCTCGGCCATCAATTTACGCAAATCTTTTGGAAGTAAAGATAAATTGCCAATCACACGGACACAAACTCCTTTTTCTTTTAATTTGTCCCTAGAAAAACATTTGTATTTATAAGATTTAAAATTTATGCGCTATGTAACATTTTTTATTTAAAGTCTCGTACATACTTTTCTTCTAAAAGACGTTCAAACTTTTGCTTGGCAAGTTCCATGAGTCCATCAACTTCTTCTTTGCTGCGCTTAAAGTTCTCTATGCTAAAAGCATAGACAGTAACTTCCACAACACCAAGATCCATGCACCAATTTAATGTTTCAGATAATTTATCAAATCTATAGAAAGAGAATGTAGAAACACAAATCAGTTGAAGTGAACTAGCATAGCTTTAAAATATCTTTTCAAATTTACATACCCTCTTGCGTGTCCTTCTACTTTTGCCACATTTTTTTTATTTGCATAACGTCTGTTGCCATCCATTATAAACGCTACGTGCCTGGGCACGTGGCCGGTTCTTAGAATTTTTAAGATCAAGGATTGAAACCAGTTCAGAGTGCGTTCTCTTATCCATGACATTGTATTTGAAAAATATACAGTTTGCTACAAAACCGAATCCTGCCAATTTTTCTTCCTGCTATATAGACTTGCTCGCTGTTTCAAGCAAGCAACACTAGTTAGCTAGTTAGCTATTTACCGGCAAATATGTGCAACTACGGTAGTTCTCAAAGCAACGATGACGAATGATAGCTGTATAATCAGCTGTTATCACACTCATCACTTCGGTTATCGGTCTAACCTTGGTGCTGGTCAATTATCACATGACACAATGCGTCGCTTTCACAAGCGACTTCATGACTTTTTTATCTATTTCACGTGTAGTTTTAGCAAACGACGAAATAGGATTTGGATTAATTGTTGAACAAGGTGTCCTCACGAAGCTCTCGACGAAGATTCAACCGCGTTTAACGTCAAACGTGTTTTAGCGAGAGACTATCTAAATCTCTTATCTATCAACCCTTCAAAGCCGGATCAACTTTCGACGGACATTTCTATCTTCGCCGGTCATCAAGATCCTCCGTCAACGATCGCCGACAACAACCGGCGTCATGCTCGACGATGTTTCGTGAGATATTTGTGATGCGTCATGCGTTCGCGTCGCGACTCACCATCCGTACGAACATGTGATCTCTCATCGGTTGTTGCCAATCGCCGACGACGACGCAGCCACGACCGCCGCCATGTTGACCGCTTTGTTTCCTACGTAATCCGCGACGAATGTTTCTCTACAAAGCAAATAAAGCACATTACAAACGCGTGTTTATAGAAATAGAACAAGTTGCGCCGAGTCAAGTTCCTTTGCGAACACGCGAATGTTATCGCAAAATACGTATTTGCGACGAGTTGGGCGAAATAACGCAACTTCGTCGCATAAATACGCACCGGGTCTACGCGCGCAGCAGCTTCCGCGTATCGGTTTCTATCGATTTCGATGTGATTGCGCCAATAAGAGCAACGATGCAATTTTGTTTACTTGTTTATTTATTTTTTTTTTTTTTTCATTCAATGTCGCAAGCGGTTGCGATGAGAGATGTCTTTTTTTATGAGACGTCGTGAGAAAACTCGACGCTTAAAATTTCTTTGCAATTCGGACATCGGTTGCCGGGGCGCACGCGATCGCACAAACAAGGTGTCCCGTGTTCCCCCGCACCTGTTTCGCGCTATCTTCTTTGTTCTATGCCGCAATTTTGTGCGGCAGTTTTGTACGGCAATTATCAATCCGACAACCCGCGACGATCGCACGTATCGAAACTGTTGAGCGGCGCGAACAACAAAAGCGACAACAGCTTCCGGTTTCGCGAAGTTTTAATACATAACTTTTCGATCGCAAATTCGTCGATCGAAAACACGCGACGCAAATTTTTTGCCGCAAATTCGACCTTTCGCGCAAATCCGTCATTTATTTTCGCGAGAAGAATATTCGAATATTTCTGAAACACACGCACGCACACAAATTATTATTATTATTATTGTTATTGTTATGTTCTCGAGATCGCACGCCTTGTTAAATAAACCCCGATAAAAAAAATTGCGCCCTACCGTTTGAGTCTTCCGGAAATTCAACGCTCGGGTCGAGAGACGCGGTTTCAAACGTGCCGCGTGTTCAATGATGGATTCATCGATTCGCCGATAGGTTCTCGAAAATGACGTAATCAGTGACCGATTACGCCATCTTTTCGCGCGCGGCTTATCGACGACGCGCGCGAGAGATGATTATTTTACGCCGCAACTCGGACGGCGGATTTAAATGTAATTTCGCGAAAGAAAAATCTCTCGTCGCGTCGCGCGTGTGAATTTTCTACCGCGAGAAATCGGTGGTAAAAAAAAAAAAAAAAAAAAAAAAGACAGTCGCGGAACATTTTCAAAAAAGGTGCGGGTTCCGGGTGGCGCTTGTTACGCGCCTGGGTTCGTGAGACGGCGCGGCGCGTCGTCATTGGGGAACTATTTTTCGCAGCGAGTAGGCAGCCGCGATGCCATCGGCCATGCGCGCATCGGTCGTCGCACAAGCAGACCCGAGAGGATAGAGAGAAAATGAACGCTCTGGAGTCGCGCTGCGAGCGATAAAACCCGATGATTCTGTCGTCGTTGTGAGTGAATAGAAATCGATTGGATCGGTCGAAATGGAAGCCAGCGTGTACAGGAACGAGTCCGGAATCACACCAGGTAACGTATAGACGTCCGTATCGTCGTAGAATCGTAGCGCGAGTGCGTGTTACATCGTTGCGTGCCCGTGTGTGTATGTGTTCGCTCCTTTATATCTCTCCTCAAGAGCACCCCCGTGCTTCTCTCGTTGCAGAACTGTACTTCCTGATCGCGAAATTTTTGGCGGGTGGTCCGTGCAAGAAGGCCGCCGCGGTAAGTGTTAGATAGATCCGGGAAAAATCCGCGATCGCTGGATCGCGTAAGAAACCACGCGAACGCACGCGAATCTAAATACGCGGCTTTGTTTCAGGTGCTGAGGCAAGAATTGGAGCACACTGAGGTAAAGCGATCGACTGAGCTGACACTGTATACAGCGTGAGTGGCGGACCACATGGTTCGCACGTGGTTTCTGCTTGTCAAAACATTAGAATTCCAAGGTCGCTGACCTTGGTGATAGCCAAGTATCGGCGGTAGATCGCCGATCGCGCTTATCGAACCTTGTCGATCATTTGCCGATCGGATCTTAATCTCGTTTTTTTTTTTTCTCTCCCCGTTGGAATCAACCCTTGCTTTTATTTTAAATCCGCCCCCCCCCTCCGTTTGTTGTTCGCAGGTGTTACCTCGACGTCTCGACTGGGAAGGACGTGTGCACGGTCAAACGTTCGAGGAATTGGTAAGTTGTGACGATTTTATACACATGGCGGCATGGCGATCGGCATATCCGGCGGATATGCACGGCTCGGGGCTCGTTCCCGCTCGTTCGGGTGTCCTGCGGGGAAAACCATCGCGTCGCGTCCGTAAGGTGGTTCGATGAAACGCGCCGAGCGCATCGGGTACCCCCCCGTCGATTTCGAGGGGGGGTTGCTCTCTACCCCCTTTGTGTCCCACCGCGACCGCCCTCCTCCTCTTCCTCCGTGATTCCTCTCTCGCGGTCTCTCTCTCTCTCTCTCGCACAGTAGTCGTTCCCCACCGCCGCTCAAGCTCGGCCAATCGGTTCGCGTTTCCGGCCATTTCGCGCGAGCTGATCAATGAATATAGACGCCTGTGGCGTATTTATAGAAACGTGTCGTGCAACTCGCGCTGATTGGTTAGCGCGCCAGCGCCACCGAGCGCCGCTCACGGGAACTAGTCGTTCTAATTTTTCGCGCCAACTGATAAATTATCTATGTTGGTATATTTGTACGTCATTTTTACAGCGAATGTTTCGTATTGTTACAACAATGTAATATTTTTTTTAGGAGAAAAAATATCCTCACATTAAACCGGATCATTTGTTGCAAATATGTGCGAGAATTGGACCGGTGTTGGAGAAACAGGTGCCACCTTGTGTTCCTGGGGCAATATCGCTTCTGGGAGCAGGCAGGCAATCTCTGCTGCGTACTCACGAAGGTATAATAATAATAACAAACATTTTATTATTCTTAATATTTTTCAAATTAATAATGACGAAGAATAAGATTCTTCGGGGATCCAGAAGTCTTAAACTAATGAATGAATTAAAATCGGGTTAGTCGAGCCGTTTTGCAGGATGTTATGCAGAGAATGTGCTTGAATATATATATACAGGGTGTCCCAGAATTGCCGTACAATCTCTCGTAGGCAGGTAGAAGAAGTAAAACTGAGTTGAAAAGTCCTGAACCATTTTTTTCTATTATTTATAATAAAGGAGTAATTATTGAGTAAATCAGGCCAATCAGCGCAGATCTTTAGCCAGACGCACGTCAGTGAGCGCTCACACACACCAGGCGCGCGGCTCACTGACGTGCGTCTGGCTAAAGGTCTGCGCTGATTGGCCTGATTTACTCAATAATTACTCTTTTATTATAAATAATAGAAAAAAATGGTTCAGAACTTTTCGACTCAGTTTTACTTCTTCTACCTGCCTACGAGAGATTGTACGGCAATTCTGGGACACCCTGTATATATATATGCATACACATATATTGACGAAATATATTTTTTCGCAATATTTTAAAAATTAGTTAGGGGGGTATACAGGGTCCTTCATATACACGTGAATCCAGCATCCTATATGGAGGAAAAAAATTATTTCGTCAATATATGTGTATGCATATATATATATATTCAAGCGCATTCTCTGCATAACATCCTGCAAAACGGCTCGACTAACCCGATTTTAATTCATTCATTAGCTTAATATTTTTATTACAATTTTTTTTTTTTCTAATATGTAAAGGTATGTGCATATAGCTTCAATTTTTAATAAACAAAGGTGTTATATGGCTATTGAGGCAAACACAGACGTCGATGTGTGAATAGTTGAATCGATTTATTGAAACTTGGTGCAAAACGACTCGGTCGCTTTATTCCATTTGCTTCAATAGCCATAACACTTTTTTTTTTTTTTTAAGTTTTACGCATTGTTTTTGTAATAAGTTGTAAAATTCTGATTTATTTTTTTTTTTTTGTTTAGATATCTTGCGTTACGTACGCAGCGTCGTCTATTGTTCCGGAAGATTTGGTGGAAAACCTTTCCTGGAACGACCTGGTATTTTGTCAGTGCCTAATATAGGTAAGAAAAATTGATAATCAACAATCTTATATATCAGGTCTAAACCGGAAAGTTCTGTCCGTTTTTTGAAATAAAACAAAATACAAATTTTTCTTAATTTTTCAAAAATGGGGATATACAAATTGCCCTCACGCTGGCAAGAAATCATTAATAATAATGGCAATTATATTACTTAATCAAGTTTATTGACGGTAAGAAAAAGTTGTTTTTTTTTTTATTCAAAAAACGGACAGAACTTTCCGGTAGACCTAATATATATATATAAGCAAATCATCTTTACTCGCACATTTTGATACAATAATAAACATAAAGGATGTGTTTGGATGGCCAATAAGAGCTTAAACACAGGTAGTAATGTGTGAAATAAATTTTTCTTTTATGGAATTTTATTCCTTGTGAATTACGTTTCGATCCTAGCTTTGGATCATCTTCAGATAAAAAATCCTGTATGGAAAATACGTGACAGGATAAATAATGTTGTTAATTATTGTAAGTTTTTATTAGTTTTTATTTTCTCAAAACCAACCATGTCTTAATGTATTTATCCTGTCACGTATTTTCCATACAGGATTTTTTATCTGAAGATGATCCAAAGCTAGGATTGAAACGTAATTCACAAGGAATAAAATTCCATAAAAGAAAAATTTATTTCACACATTACTACCTGTGTTTAAGCTCTTATTGGCCATCCAAACACATCCTTTACAACAATAAACACTTTTATTTTTTTGTATAAAACAATTATATAATTTTGTTGCGCATGTGTTTTTGTCCGATAGTACGTGTACTTCAGGGACGTGAGAATTCCGGCCCTTTAAGCCGAAGAGAGGCGATTTCGCCAAAGTTTTATAACAAAATGCAAATGTATCGACATACATTAGGCCATTTATCGGCAGTATACTGCGTGTTGTTTGATCGTACCGGCCAGTATGTTATAACCGGAGCAGATGATCTGCTTGTCAAAGTTTGGAGCTCAGTTGATGGACGATTACTTGCTACTTTTCGAGGCGCGTCTGCGGAAATTATGGACATCGCGGTGAACTTCGATAACACTTTGTTGGCAGCGGGAAGTTTAGATCGAATATTGCGAGTCTGGTGTTTCCAGACGATGTCTCCTGTGAGTGACGCTAAAAGAATGTTGAATGGTTTTTTACACACACACATAGAAAACTAAATGTGACATAATGAAATATGTTTTTTCTTGAATTATAATTTTCATAAAGGTGGCAGTTTTGTCCGGACATTCAGGCATGATTACGTCCGTGAAATTTTGTCCAATAGCTTGTAATGGTATTTACTATTTGGTCTCTACCAGTACTGATGGATCCGTAGCGTTTTGGTCTCATACAAAGAAACTGAATGAAAGAGCAGTATTTCAGTAAGTTTGTTTTGATTGATGTTTACACACGCGACAATGTTCTTTTATACATTTCATAGTTGGGGAGAAGTTTAACATATATTATCGTATCTTTTAATATGTATAAACGTAATATAAATATTTTGATACACAACACCGATCGCAATATTGATCCGTTACAGGTCAAAACCTATTCAGTACAACGAGAAAATGAGACCAGGTCAAGCACAGATGATTTGCGCGTCTTTTAGTCCTGGTGGTGCGTTTATGGCAGCTGGATCTGCTGATCATCATGTTAGAGTTTACGCAATGTTGGGTGACGAAGGTCCGCGCAGAGTTCTCGAAGTCGAAGCGCATTCTGATACTGTCGATAGCATCCAATGGGCTCACGATGGTTTAAAATTCATTTCCGGTTCAAAAGACGGAACGGCGAATGTATGGCATTTCGAGCAACAGCAATGGCAACACAAACAATTGTTTATGACAACTAAACTTCCCGGGTATGTTAAATTTGTAATTTTTATTTGACAAAGTTTTCATGAATAGAAAAAAAAAAAACTTGCACATGTTATAAATACGTTGTATTTAAAAAAAATTTTATTATTTTATTTTTAAATTAGATGTGTGAGATGGACAATTCGAACGGTAGGCAGGGTGTTTTGCCAATAAATACCAAGCGTTTCGACTTTATTTTATATACCAAACGTTTCGACTTTATTTTCAAGTCTTCTTCAGTGGATTCTCTGAAATGGAAATACAGTCCGTCTCAGCACAATGATATAATGTTGAGTTGTTGTCGTGTACTGACAGTACCCTGCCCACTGACAGTACACGACAACAACTCAACAAACACATTATATCATTGCGCTGAGACGGACTGTATTTCCATTTCAAAGAATCCACTGAAGAAGACTTGAAAATAAAGTCGAAACGTTTGGTATATAAAATAAAGTCGAAACGCTTGGTATTTATTGGCAAAACACCCTGCCTACCGTTCGAATTGCCCATTCCACACATCTAATTAAAATTTTACGATACGAACTGGAGGTCATCCTTATCAGCCATTATTTTATTAATTAGTAAATGAAAAAGGTCACATCGAGCCAAAAAAAGATATTAATATAAAAATATAATGATTTAATGATCAGCATTTACATATATCATGCGTCATAAATGTCATCTCCAAGGTAATTACACCATGTTTAATATTAACGACCAAACCTCTACGTTGCTTTTAAACATTGACTTCGTTTATATCTTGACTTAATGTATATATTGCGTATTTTTTATATTTTTATATTATTGAAATGTTATTTGCGACTGAAGAAGACTCCAGTTAGAGTCGAAATATTTTGCGTATTTTTTATATATGTAAATGCTGATCATTAAATCATTATATTTTTATATTAATATCTTTTTTTGGCTCGATGTGACCTTTTTCATTTGCTAATTTGTTTTTTACATTACGAGCGTTTCTGTTTGATTTATTACATTTTTTATTATTTTATTTTTATAGAGAACCAGAAACGGATGACGACTCGAATAAGAAAGCGAAAGTAACTATGGTGTGTTGGGATGTGAGCGATGAATTTCTTATTACGGCAGTTAACGATTATTCGTTAAAAGTATGGGGAGCAAAATCGGGCGAACTGATGAAAATTTTACGCGGACACAAAGACGAAGTATTCGTATTAGAATCACATCCAATAGATCATCGTGTGATACTTAGTGCTGGTCACGATGGACAACTTATCATTTGGGATGTACTAATTACTGAACCAATAGCGTGTTTTCAAAACTTTGTCGAGGGTCAAGGAAACTGTGCTGTCTTTGATGCGAAATGGTCACCAGATGGTACGATGCTCGCTGCGACAGATTCTAATGGTCATCTTTTGATTTATGGATTTGGATCCGGAGTCGAGAGAATGAAAATTGTATGTGTGTCGTGTTGATATATTTTTTATTTTACACCTTTACATTCTGTCTCCTTTTACAAAATGTTCAACTTTCTGAATTATTTCCAGATACCTAAGGAATTATTTTTCCACACGGATTATCGGCCCTTAATCAGAGATGCGAACAATTTTGTTCTTGACGAGCAGACGCAAACAGCGCCGCATTTAATGCCGCCACCATTTTTAGTGGATGTGGACGGAAATCCTTATCCTCCAGCACTGCAGAGATTGGTTCCTGGGAGAGAAAATTGTAGAGGCGAACAATTGGTACCGAATATTGCAGTTGGCGCTGGTGGTAAGACGTTTGTTTTGTTACATGATATTATGTGATAAAAAAAAAAAATCTAATTCAAAACATTTATGCACATATTAACGATCAAAAAGAAATATTACACAGAACAGTTTTCCAAACGGAAAAAAATATTTTTGTTTCTATAATATAATCGTTGCTATCTTACTGTCTTATATTAACAAAATTGATGTGTGAAGAGTAGCTCCAAAAAATTTTTTAAAAACAAATGAGGATTTGAGATGGTGGCAGTTTGAAGCAAAACACAGGTGGAATAGTGTACTAAAATTCTTGTATTCATGTATCTTGTACCACTATTCCACCTGTGTTTTGCTTCAAACTGCCACCATCTCAAATCCTCATTTGTCTTATATTAGTTTTTTATTTGTAATAGATTTTAAAACATAAATGCATGTTACACACAGGAATGCAGGAAGTTATAGAAGGTCTTCCGGAGCAAGAGCCAAGATCCAATATTGATCAACTGATTGAAGAACTCGCTCAGAGGCGCAATATTGGTGCTGATGGAGAAGCCGTTGGCATTGGCGAAGATAGAGAGAATAACATTGCGGAACAACATTCGGTCCATAATCGTCAATTGGCGAGTCCTCGCGCGAGCAGAGCTGGTCTGAGAAGAGAAGGTAATGTCGAAGGCGTTCGGCAAAGTAGCGGCAATTGGCAAAGGGATAGTACAACGCCTTGGAACAAACCTCTTCTCGCGCGTGCCATGAATCCAGCTGTTAGAGAGACTCAGACTAAAACGATGTAAGTACGACGAGTTCAATCAATTCTCTTTGCTCACTGGATCAACATTAGTGATGACAAAAAAAAAATATATATATTTTTATCCTTTTCCTATTTGATTTTTTTAATTAAAATTTACACTTTTTTTTGAAGTCACGATATAGCCAGTATGGAATTAGAGTGCTGGCGACGGGAAATGAAACGACGGCCGCAGCCTACATCGAGCACTGCCGCGAATCAAAATAACATGGCAAATAAACTCGGAACTCGCAAATGCAAAAGAACCACCAGACATCATTACAGAACTAGAGCAGCGCGCGGTGAAGAACAGGAGGAAGAAGATTATGAGGTACCTCACAGAAGCCATGTTTAATATCGATAAGTATTAACTCGTGAATAATTTTTACTTGTTGTCGTAATGAAAGTTGGGAAGCTTTTCAATGTTCTACAATAAATTAAGCGTTGTAATATCTTGCATTTTTACAGAATGATAACGGTGTCACGTCGGCGACTTCTGTCAGTAACAGCAATGACTCCACTGCTCAGGAAGAAGATTTGTGTTCCTATAGCAGCAGCAGCAGCAGTACAGAATCGAGTACCGAATATTCCGATTGGATCGCAGATCACGGGTTAAGTTTGGAACCTCCTAAACGTAGTAAACGTAAACCAGTTAAAAAACGGTCTCTCACACCACCGAATGACGCAGATCGAAGACGCAGTAGACGTCCTAAGAAACAAGTATGTTTTTAACATTTAATTTTAATCAGCAATTTAGTTTTATTGAAGCTTTCACCTTTTTTTTTTTTTTTTGTTCAATAGGAAATAGCGATAGCTAATGGTATTCATGAAGTTCCTGAAGTTTACCGACCGTCAGAGTGGCTTACCGAAGTTATACCGAGGAAAGCACCTTATTATCCGCAGATGGGCGATGAAATCGTTTATTTCAGACAAGGCCATAAATTTTATTTAGATGCAATTAGGAATAAAAAAGTTTACGAGCTTAGTCCGCGATGTGAACCATGGACCAAGATGACTATTAGAGTATGTATTTATTTGACATTCTAGTGGTTGAAAACCACCAGAGCTTTCATTATATAAAAAACATATAATATATTTATTTATAGAAGAGGAGTATAGAAACGCTTCAAAAAAAATTATCATAAGAACAGGAAAATTATCATGGCCCTTTGAAGCAAAAAACACTGATGATAATGTGTGTGTGATAGCAGCATTACTTTATTCAAGCACGTAATATATAAAACGTTTTCGGCCTTAGATTAGGCCTTTATCAATATATATACATATATAATAATGTTGTTCTTGAATTAAAAACTTAATCGAGTCACATGATTACAATTTGGAAATATAAAAGTAAAAGTAAATTTTTTTCATTATTATATATATATTGATAAAGGCCTAATCTAAGGCCGAAAACGTTTTATATATTACGTGCTTGAATAAAGTAATGCTGCTATCACACACACATTATCATCAGTGTTTTTTGCTTCAAAGGGCCATGATAATTTTCCTGTTCTTATGATATTTATTTATGCTTGATATTCTTGAAGAATTTGTATACACACGCGTGTATGTAACTTGAAACATGTTTATTTTCCAGGCGCAAGAGTATGTAAAAGTAGTAGGTATTAAATACGAGATAAAGCCGCCTCGTTTGTGTTGTTTAAAATTAGCATTGATGGACGAAGATGGCCGGCTTACCGGACAGAATTTTACCATCAAATATCACGATATGGCTGATGTGTTGGATTTCTTAGTGTTACGTCAGACTTTTGAAATGGCCTTAGCCCGAAGTTGGTCCGAAGGAGAAAAGTTTCGTTGTATGATCGACGATGGTTGGTGGATGGGACAGATTGTCGGAATGGAACCGTTGGATGAGGAATTTCCTGATTCGTTCTTTATGTGCTTTCGCGTCAGATGGGACAACGGAGAATACGAACGAATGAGTCCTTGGGATCTCGAACCCATTGATGAAAATAGTAAGTTGTTTCGTTTTGTGTGTGTGATCTATTTTGATATCTCAATGAGAAATTAGTTTGGTTTGTATTTCTTAATTATATTGGGTCATCAATTGAAACCTGATACATATATGCGCCATTACCAATTTACTTGTTCAGGACTTCCTGTTGAAGTCGGTGGCGCAGTTCCCGTTTTACCTGAGGAAAGACAAGCAATATTGTATCAACCTCATCCGGAAGAGTGGCCTATGGGTGACAGAGAAGAGACTTGTCGTCGAATAATACGCGGTCTGGATCAGATAATGAGTCTTGCAATTGCAGAACCGTTTGTGGCGCCGGTGGATCTCAGTCTTTATCCATCTTATGCCTTAATTGTGCAGTATCCGATTGATTTGTCGACTATAAAAGCTCGTTTTGAAAATCGTTTCTATAGAAGAATCACGTCCGCACAATTTGACGTCAGATACTTAGCAGCCAATGCCGAACAATTCAACGAGCCGCACAGTCATATAGTGAAAAAAGCGCGAATAGTCACCGATTTGTGTTTGCGTATAATAAAGTACGACCATTATTTTTATTGACTAATTTGTTTTTCGTTAGCAGAGAGTTAGATTTATATAACATCTTTATATTATTCATCAATTAAATATCTCACATAACAAATATAAAGCTGAGTTTTTTTTTTTGTCAACATAGGGAACCTACCGACATAGATGTTTCGGCGGTATATCATCAATTGAACGATACGTACCATTCTTCAGACTCTGACTTGGATATAGAAAATAAACCGTCAACGAGTAAACAAAAACCAGCATCAAGTAGAAAGTTACGCTCACAAGATTTGGCACAAGACTGGAAAATGGCGTGTCGTCATTTGTTGGAAACTCTGTGGCAGTGCGAAGATTCAATTCCTTTCAGGTAGGCTGCGAGGAAAAATTCTTGGTAATTATGCAGTTATACGGACTATTTTCCGATCTCAACAATTTTGACATATGTTATCAAGGTCACCTCTCTGAATAATAATATGAAGGTTTTATCCGTCGCTCATTGTTTATAAAAAAGTTATGAACAAAAAAAGTTTGATGATTGAACT